CCACTTGACCTGTGCTGTAGTGCTGCGATCCGAATGCTCAGCTGCCCTGACTCAATGTCTGTGTTCTCCTAAATCAAAGGATGGGGTATATTTGTGCTGTCAGGCTCTGTGAGGGCTGGTGTTCTACCTCTGTTCTTCAAGAACGTGACAATATACGAGAAGACAAAGTTACAGGAATCCTCTTTGCTAGCCTATTTCTTTTACTCCCAATTATCACTAAAGTTAAGGATCACAGAAGAACAAACCCACAGGATATTGGAGTTTGTTGTGATTGTAGTTTCCTCACCTTGGTCCTGTGAGTTTGTTGCAAAACTGTAGGGATAGCGCTGGCTGATACAGGAGTAAGGTGCAACCCATCTTGGCTTGCGAACAAAAATGTCAAGTTACACTCTTTCTATGTGTTAATACCAAGTTCCTAAGATGACTCCTGCGTATTGAAACAGTGCATTTAAAAAGCTGAACAGAGGGCTGTGTGGAGGGAGGTAACATGGGGAACTACTGATCTCTTTCAGGTGTGGCAATACATTACCCTGATGCGGCGGATTTTTCTCATCGACTGCCCAGGTGTAGTTTATCCATCTGGAGACACAGAAACAGACATTGTGCTGAAGGGAGTGGTATGTATCCTCACTACATGCTGGAAAATCTTTGCTGTTGTCAATATGATGGGTTCAAAGAGATGAATGCACGCTTTCCAAAGGGTTGATGTTCTACTGCTCATTTTCAGGTTCAAGTTGAAAAGATTAAGAGCCCTGAAGATCACATTAGTGCTGTGCTGCAAAGAGCCAAACCAGAGTACATCAGAAAGACATACAAAATTGATTCCTGGAAGGATGCAGAAGAATTCCTCGAGAAACTTGCTGCTAGGACTGGAAAACTGCTAAAGGTGTGACAACTTTCTGTATGTGCAGGCTGGAAGAGCGTGTGGCCTGTTACTGAACACGGGAAATACGAATGTTTCTATTGCTTACAAGTAATAGAAAGGTGATATGCCCTGCAAATGTGGACATAAATTGTTACTGGGTTCTTTCAGGGTGGTGAGCCTGACATGCAAACTGTGAGCAAGATGGTTCTCAATGACTGGCAGAGGGGCAGAATTCCTTTCTTTGTGAAGCCACCGAATGCAGAAACAGGTCCCCAGGTGAGAATGTGATGCTTGTGCCTCCTCTTCTCACATATTACTCAGTTTCCCTAATGATGTTCGCTGTTGGTTTTCCCACGGTGCCGTGTAACCTGGGCAGTGCGCGTGTTGGGCTCTGCCCAAGTCTTATGATTCAGGTGACACTCACTTGAATTTGTTGAGGACCAGGTAGCAAAGTTCTTTAGAGATGTCTGAGCCATTTTATAATCATCTGACTACCAGAAATGTCAGTAACTATCACATGGTTAGCCTGTCATCTCAGGCCTTTTCTGAAGAGACAAAAAGGAAATTGCTCTTGGAGATGGGACAGACTTTGTGGGTAATATATCCATTACACTGTCTTGTAGCCTCCTGCGTTGGAAGTAGCTGTGACATCAGGCCAAGATAATAAGGAGGAGAAAATGTCAGAGCCAGTGACATCAACTGTGGAGCCAGCAGAAGAGAAGAGTAATACAGACACTGAAATTAAGCAACTCATGTCACATGTTCGGCAGAACTTTGGGAGGATTAATGTGGCACCTCAGTTCTCAGAAGAAGACCTGATTCCTGTAGATGTGCCAGGCTTTGATGATACAGACAGTGATTCTTCTGGAGAGGAGGAGCAGGAAGAAGAGGAAGAGGAAAATGAGCAACATCAAAATTCAGTAGAGGAGGAATCACAGTTGACTGTCCCAAGTGCCAAGGAGAGCTCTAAGGCAGTTCTTAAGGCTTTGGATGAGAAGATTGCAAAATACAAAAAATTTCTGGATAAAGCCAAAGCCAAGAGATTCTCAGCAATAAGGTATCTAAATCTGTTCAGTGACTCGAGTATTTCATGAAGGGGCAAGGATTAATGGGATTCTGCTGTGGTTTCACTCCACTCATGACTTGCTTGACTGGTTCCTCTGTGTTGCCCCACACAAGTTGCCACAGTTTATCTAGCTTAGCCATAAATATTTGAACTTCTGCAAAGCTGCAGTTTGTTTTTAAAGGATTATTCCATGAAGTCCTATTTACCAGCATAACTAAAAATGTTCTCACTTTTGGAAAGCTGCCTCTCAAGATGTGGATTAGCAATCTGTTGGTATTCTGGCTGGCAGTCTCTCCTTGACGTTGGGCTCTTTCTTGAGTAGTGCCAAGGCTAATGTCCTACCTGGGTTTGCCAGCTGGGTCTCCATGCGTGTACGAAAGTATCTTAGTTCATACAGCAGGCCTAGTTTTAGAAAAGCTCATCCACCAGCATTGTGAGGACTAAGATTTTGAGCTGAAGTGTTACATTTTGTCACTTTGTGCAGCGCATGAGCCCAGTAACTCCAGAGACAAGATCGCTGTAACGTGGTTTAGGTGCAAAGGTAGTGGCTTTGCTGCTGGCAGGCTACTTCTCAGAGGTGGTTTCGTTTTGTTATAACATTCTTCTATTACTTATTTTGTCTTTTGTAGAATCCCTAAGGAGCTGAGTGAAAAAGTGTTTGCAAAATCCATGCAGAAGTCTGAAGAACCCAAAGAAACTGAAGGCAGAGGTAAAACAAGATCAGTAGATGTTCTTAATCTACATTTGGAAATCCTGTAAGTGAGAGAAGGCAGGGAGTTAAGGGGAGAGGGCTGCCTGATGACCCTGCTGCAGCCCTTCTGTAGAACACCTGTGTCATGAGCTGTGTCCCTCTACTAGTGAATGAGGGTAAAGTGAAGACAAACGTATTTCCAGAAGAATGGTGCTATGGGCAGATTGCAATCTGAGCACCTTCCCTTCCACGTGTAGCATTGCACAGAAGGGAGTGGAAGGGGTTTATGACATTATAAAAGCAGAGATACTTCAGGCTATAGGTTTTACTGTGGTGACTTCAAGAGTCTGCGGCTTCAGTTTCCACGTAGGTTTGATGAAAGGCAAAATCATGTGGGAGAACCCTCTTCTGACAGGACTGTGAAATTCTGCTGGACTTGCATGGGGCTTTGAGCAATCTGCTTCTCAAGAGCAGTTTTCATAGTAATAGGGAGTGATTCTCTGGTAAGGAACATGCATGTTGTTTCGGTAGAAGCTATTAAAGTAAGACCAAAGGAATGCTTTGCTACAGTACGTGGGATGGTGACTGACCCCAGTTGTAAGTTCTGCGAACAGATGGATGTTTTAGAAGGTGCCCGAGTGTGTGATCTCTGCTGTTTGCAGGCAGCACAGAAAATAAAAGAAAAAGGAAAGCGGAAGAGGATGACGATGACCATTTGGGGGAACAGCCTTGCAAGAAACTTACATCCAAAGAAGTAAGTGTGATTTCTTGTAGTACAACAGAAGAGCAGGGTACTAGAGCTGGCTCTTTGTATGCGTAGATTGCCCGTTACCACCGGAGAGCTTTGAGACTGGGCACCAGCAGGAGGGAGACCGAGCGTGGGCACTGCAGCTGAGGTAGGGTGGATGTGAAGAGAGGGTGACCTGCTGCGGGCGTGGGCTGTGAGCGGCATGTTCCAGCCCCAGAGGGCCCAGCAGGTCACCGCGGCAGGAGGTGCGTTGAAGGGGAGAATCCCTTGGGGGTCCCTGTTTGCCTCCGGCGCTAGCTGCCTGCTGGCGCTGCTGGGAGAGCAGGGCTCAGTGCCGGGAGAGCATTTGGAGCTAGATGGGCAGGACTGTTCTGTCTTCAAAGGGAGCTGCTGCTGCTATTTTCTGTTCGTGTCAGTCAAGTCTAAACAATCGTTCTAGAATAACTTAAATACCAAGGGAAATAGTCTGTCTCTAGGACTCTGAAAGTGGTTCGTAAGCAAACTTGTCCAGCAAGGGCTTTTGGAGCGTTGCTGTGGACTGTTAGGACTGTCAGAGGGGAGCAGAAAACTGAATTCTGTTTATGAATGTTCTGGCACGCTGCCTGTTCAAGACCTCCTAGGTGACCATGCGTACCAGGTTGCTGCTTGTATCTTGTTTACCACTTTTGTAAAGATTATAAAGTGTATCTTCCTTTAACATTTTAGGAGCATGGCAGGGTGGATTCCATATAGATGTCTGTATATTCACACCAGTAATGTTTTGAAACTTTTTACTTAAGGCATGTGGAATGCAAAGTGAACCACCCTTGAAAGAATGGAAACAAATACAGGCTATGGATACTGTGGATTTGCTAATGTGTTTTGTGTGTATTTGCAGAGAAGACGAGCAGAGAGGCAGCAGCGCTCCAAGAAAGTTGGAGTCCGGTATTATGAAACTCACAACGTGAAAAATAAGAATAAGAACAAGAAAAAAACTGGCTTGGAGGGACAAAGATCAAAGCACAAAAAACACAAACATAAGCAATAACTGCTTATTCTATTAAATTTTACATAAAACAGCTCTAGTATGCAGTGGCTTTTTTTAATATGAAACTTGTAGTTCCCATTCAGAGCCTAGTTTGACTTGTGTGTCTTGTTCCCAGGAGTAGCATCTCACTCTTTGTTTCTGCATCATCTGAAAGTTCTTTATGCAGTTGGCGATCACGGTATTTCCACATCACCATCTAAGGCCAGTAAACACTGAATTGGCAAAATATATCCTGAAGTGTTATTCAGTGGCAGTGGTTTGGTGGGATTTTTTTGGCTTGTTTGTTTTTTTTTTTTCTGGAAGCTGGTTGTATGGAGTGTTTTATATGACTAAGGTGAATTGTCTTTCCCATGTCTGCTTGCTATGTATAACCAGCTAGTTGTACAGGTACCTCAACTAAAAATTAGATGTGCTTCCACTGAGAAGCGATGCTCGGGATGGTATCACAGCCCTCTGTTTCCTTAGGAATAACCATGCAGAGAGCTTTGGTATCGCTCATCCTAGGTTACTACCAACGGTTCTGACAGGGGCTTTTGATGTACAATTAACACCAACTTGCAGCTCCTCAAGGAAATACCCTCCAAAGAATTACTTGCAATTTGATTCTTAGTGAACACGACATCTGTTTATTGTAGACACTTCATATATTGCTTCTGAATTTTCTACATTTTCAAAGTAATAATGTTATAGATGCTAGCATATAAAAATGTTTATCAGTTTATTGCTTTGAAAGTCATCTAGCAAATTACCAACAAGCAAGTCCTAGACAGGTTCACTATTCAAGGAGCTGAATACTGAGACAGAACTGAAAGAGGGTGCAGTAATTAATGAAGCTCTTGAATTTCAACTCTTCAAGAGAAAAAAGAAAGAAAGAAATACAATTACGGTGCCTTCAGTTACCGGTAAGTGAAAACTCGAGATTGTTTTATGAAGACAAATCTTTGTCACTAATTGTAGACTTCTTGCTCTCTGAGCACTGCCTGGTGGACCACAAAAACATCTACTTACTTGGTGCAATGATGCTTTCAAGTTGGGCCTGAAAAACAAATGAGACAGTAAGTCAAATTAGATTCAACTTAAAAAGTAAACCCGCGTTGCCGTAAAGTGATAAATTGCCTGTTAGATATTCAAAGCGAGGAGCTGAGGGATGCTGCAATACTTAAAGGGAAGTAAGCCAGGGTTTTTTTTTTCCCTAGATACTCCATTCCTTACTACATGTTTTATAAATTAGCTTTTCATTCTTGGCATACACACTTTTTGCATTCTGAGAAGAAAAGAGCTGGCCTTGGTTCCATACAATGAAAGACTCATTTTATAATGTAAAGTACTGAAAAGGAAATTAAATAAAAGCTGTTGAAACAGTGGTCTGAATTCTCTGATTTCAGGCTGGACTGTGTTAGCTAAATTAAATATTTGGCTCTCTAGCGTTTGGAACACAAACTCTGACTCGGGGACAAAAGTAGCTGGGAACAGCAAGTTTTTCAGTTACTGAGACAACTTGACGCCCAATTAGTAGATTGATCGGAGAGCTACCCCTGCTCGGGGAGCGTGTAGTGCATGAAGCTTCCAGGACTCTTAAACTGTCCTCTTCCTAGAGCTGCCACCGAAATAATCTACAACAGTGACACACACAGAGCTGTTAGAATACTTCTACTTCGAGGAAGAAACATGGATTCAGTGGCAGCACATACTTGATCTAATGGGTATTACATTTTGTGCCCTAAAAAAATGTCAAGCTGGCCTGATGACATCAATGGTTTAGAAAGGAGAAATGTAGGAACAGTGAAGGAAAGCAGCTCGGTGTAAAGGAAATGTTTTTAGCTGTAGCCAGAAACATTTAATGTTGTTTATGGTAACATTTTTTCTTTACTCAGAAGATGTGGGATTTTTTCCTTTCAAAAGCAAAGTAATGAGCAGAAGCTCTGTTTTCAGCAAGGCAGCATGCATAAAATTACTTCTGTAATTATGCAGTCTCTACTGTGCAAGTACCCAATTGTTCCTGTTGGGGAATATTAAATGGTGTTTCTTGTTATCAGGGAGTCAACTTGGATGGCCAACAGCAAAGAAACAAAACACCTTAATTTGCCTTCATCAGATTTTCTATTTTGCAGTGGAGAAAGGGTGCTAACTATTACAACCTTACAGTCAAGCTAGGCAGAAATAGATTCCTGGGGTATCAGTCAAGTTTGAAGCCTCAGCGTTTGGGGTTCAGCTGCACGTGTCTGCTCTTCTCCAGCTGACACTAACAATTTATCATTTTCTGAACAAATTATGATCTCTCCCCCTGGCAAATGTGTGTGTGACTAGAATTCAGTTCATCTGACCTGCTGTTTGCATCATCGGGTTTACTAGTAAAGACCAACTGCTGACTGAGCAAGGATGCAAAGGATGCAAAAGCACTATTTTCCCATTTCCTTGAGAATTTAAAGGAAATGGAACATAAATACAAATGCATCATAAATTTAACACTTCTAAAAGTATAAGGAGAAAGTTATCTTTATATATTTCCAATTACAAAATGAGAAATTTCACCATTACTATTTGGAATTGTGTTTTTTCACTAACCTTCAGCTGTTGATTTGTCCGTTTCAGGAACTGAACTTCTTCAGTGTGTTTCTTTTCTTCTATCTGCTGCCTTTCACTTTCACGTCTTTCAATAGCTGCACACTTAGCTTTCTGTTCACTCACTTGTCTTTCCAGCTCCCGCTTTTCCTCTTCTAGCTCTGCAATCTTGGAAAAGAGTACAGATCTCTCAAGTTTTGTTTGTTAATAATCAATTTTCAGTTAAGACGGGACAGAGTAGTATGTTGTACAGTCTTTCAAGTGTTCCAGACACAATAGCACATAACTTGCGAAGTGCAATTAAGCCCTGGGAAAAGAGCAAGGGAGTATTTTGCTGATCTTTGCTGCCGCCCGGTGGAAACAGAAATAACTGGTTTTGGAGAAACGATTATCTGTAATCTTACGCTGTGCCATGTGCAGAGAAGTACGTTACGGGGTTAACAGCCCAACTTACTCTTTTTTCCATGTCAGATTTTCCTTCCTCAGCTTGTAGTGCCTTCCGCATGCCAAACGCAACACTGCTCTCATACAGTGTCTGGTAAGCTGCAATCGTCATTTGGATTTCATCCCTGACTCGAAGCAGCAGCAGTCCTCGCTCTGCACAGTTAATTGTAACTTCACGGATCAGTTCATCTTTAAAGAAAGGGCACAACAGTCTCGTTAGAGTAGCTACTGTATGTTTTTCTGGAAATGGGGGATGCACGCAGGGTCCAGAGCTTGTTGTCTTTTACCTATTCTCTGCACCGCAAAAGCAATGTGGGTTTTTCTTGGTACATTAAAGCTCTAGCATCATGTGTTAGCAAATAAAAGCAGAGTGCTGGTATAGAACCTGTGGTAACAGCTGCACTAGTGATTCACTAACACTGCGACAGCAAACATTTAAAAACTTGTCATGATTTTTTGCCGTTACCAGGAAGCCTCCGGAAGAATCCTGCTCCAACCCCTGGCCCTCTGGTGCGTTCTCGGGGACCGGCACCGCAGCGCCAGAGTGTGTACGAGTGCTTAACAGTCACAGAGGGGTTTAAGTTATTTGAAATTAGCTGTTGGGGTCGGCACAGCCAAGAGGAGTTTAAGCTTCTTTGCATCTTTGACCGCTAGATGTGTGTAGGCATCCCCTGACACAGTGTCGTTGGCGTCTCAGCTCTGCTGCTGTGTGGGGCCCCGTGCAGGGCGGGCGGCTGTGGGGCTGGGGGCCCCCTGCTCGGCGGGGCTGGGGGGCCCCTGCTCGGCGGGGCTGGGGGCCGGGGGCCGCCCCCCGGGCACTGACCGAAGCACTGGCCGTACAGCTCCCGCCGCACCGGGCACAGGCCGGTCTCCCGCGCCTGCCGCTGCTGCAGCCGCAGGTCCAGCTGCTCCTGGAGGTGCACGACGTCCAGGCGGGTGCTGGGCGCGCTGGACACCTCCTGCACCCACCGCTGGTTCTCCTCCTCCCACTCCCTGCCGCGACAAGCACCGCCCGTTACCGGGCGCTCCGCGGGGGAGGGGGGGGGGGGGGGGGGTACGGGGGGGCCCGGTCCCGCTCACCGCGGCGGCAGGATGGCGTTCAGGAGCTCCTGCGGCTGCCGAGCGCACTCGGCGGCGGCTGCCGGGCGGGGCGGCGGCGGGGGGGTCGCCTTCAGCGGGCGGGCCTGCGGGGAGACAGCGGGGCGCGGGGGGCCCCCCCCGCCCCGTTCCCCCCCGCCCCTCACCACCGGGGAGCGCTTCTCGGCGCGGCGGCTGACGAGCACCGGCGGGTTGTACCGCAGCAGCGAGTCCGGCGGCGGGATCATGGCGGCCGCGGTCGTTATGGCGACGGCGGCGGCGCGCATGCGCGCTCCGGGGAGCGGGGAGGAGGCGGCGACGGAAGCGGAAGCGCTTCCGGGCGGGGGCCGGAAGCGGCGCGCGCTCCCTTTGTGGCGGCCGGCGGCGCCATGGAGGCGGCGGGCGGGCGGCGGCGGCGGCGGGCGGAGGCGGCCAGGCCGGCCGTGAAGGCCGAAAAGAGGAGCCCCCGGCGCTCCGCCTCCCGCTCGGCGCGGGGCAGCCAGTCGCCGCCGGCCGAGGAGCGGCGGGGCCGCGGCAGGAGCAGCAGGTAGGGCCGCCCCGGCGGGTGCGGGCCCCGCGCCCCCCCGCCGCCCCGCGCCTCACCCCTCCCTCCCTCCCTCCCTCCTCCCGCTGTTTTCGAAGGTCGCCCAAGAGGAAGAGCAAGTCCGGGCGGAGGAGCCGGTCCCCCCGCGGCAGGAGGAGCCGCAGCCCGCACCACAACGCCGTGAAAGTGAAGCAGGTAAACGGCGCTGCCGGCAGCAGCGGGGCCCAGCGCGCTCCCCGGGCCCGCGCCGCCTACGAAAACCGGCTCCTCGCCCGGCTGCTCTTTGCTTTCGGTCCCGGCAGCGCGGCGTGGTAGCAAAAGGCGGGTCTCGGCAGCCCGACGGCTCTTGCTGCCCGCCTCAGGCTTTGCCGGCAGCGGCTGCGTGTTGCCCACAGCCCTGGCCGCTCGCTGCCCGGCCCCACCGGCTCTCGGGGCGTCCCCGGATCTCGCTTTATTCGGTGCAGGTTGTAGGAATCTAGAGAGCCTGGCAAGGAAATAAGTTCTTCTTGCTTGGCACTCAGGCTGCGTGTGTTCCACGCGCAGGAGCGTGATGTTCATCAGCGCTGCCGCGGAGTCACGGCTCCTTCATTCTAATTCAGAGTACGTCACGATGAGCGATTCTTCGTTACAGGAGCGAGACGATCATTGTCGTAGAGGAAACGAGGAGCGAAAGCAGAGGTACCCATCAGAACAGGAACACAAGAGAGAGAGAAGCAGTGACAGAGACAGGCACAGAGAGCACTCGGACAGAAGGAAGAACCCAAACGAAAGGCCCGGAGTTCGGGGCCATGAGCGAGAGAGGGATGTTCAGAACATCCGTGAGCAGCAAGCAGAGAGGGAGTTCTACAACGAGAGGAGACGAGAGCATCGACAAAATAACGAAGGCAGCGGTGCTGACCAGAATCCAGAACTCGGGCAGTCTGATAACAAACCCAAAGAAAAAGCTGCTGTAAACAAAGAGAAGCCGAGCTTTGAACTGTCTGGCGCGCTTCTAGAGGATACCAACACGTTCCGAGGTGTGGTGATTAAGTACAGCGAGCCCCCGGAGGCTCGCATTCCGAAGAAGCGATGGCGCCTCTATCCTTTCAAAAACGATGAGTTTCTCCCAGTGATGTATATCCACAGGCAGAGTGCTTATCTTCTGGGCAGGCACCGCAGAATCGCGGATATTCCGATTGACCATCCCTCCTGCTCAAAGCAGCATGCTGTGTTCCAGTACCGGTAAGTATTGGGCTGCCTGCTGGTGGAACGGGAATGTTCAGGAGCTTCTGAAGCAAACAAACAAACAAGCAGCAAAACCTGGATGTGCACAGTTCAGAGTTACGAGTTTGCTGTAAGTACATTAGAGAGAGATGGAATTTATGTTTGACTGCTGCATGTCATCCTAGCAGTAATCAAAAATATCTGTAATTCCTCTCATTTAACCACAAGCAGCATTTCAGTAAGACAAATAACACAGCAGGTGTAAACACAGAACTGTGTGTATATCTGAATTAGAATAAACCGTAGGTGTAATTGGCAGTAAAAGTATTTCAGGGAGAGTTTTTATTCATTTGGTCTTTCACAACAAAGTCTGCCGATCTCCTCTGAAGCAGCAGGGGTTGCCTGCTGCTGGAGACAAAGATGCTCTCTTAGGGAACGGCCATCTGTTCTGTTGTAGGAATTGCTGTGCTGTACCATCAGAAGTTTTAGAAGGTGATGCAGTCTGTCAGAATCTGCTCGGTCTCGCGCAGTTTCTCATTGCTCTCATCAGACTTGCTCGGATCTCTGCAAGAGCAGATAACGCTGAGCTGCGCTGGGGCTCGTCCTGCAAACCCACCTGCTCCTGGAGCGCGTTTCCTGTCTCGCTGTTGTGACTGACTGGGTGCTTTTTGTTTTGCCAGGCTTGTGGAGTACACCCGTGCCGATGGCACCGTTGGCCGCAGAGTCAGGCCCTACATAATCGACCTGGGCTCCGGGAACGGCACTTTTCTAAACAACCAGCGGATTGAGCCTCAGCGTTACTATGAACTGAAGGAAAAGGATGTACTGAAGTTTGGGTTCAGTAGCAGGGAATATGTTCTTCTCCATGAATCTTCAGATAAATCTGAGGCCAACACAAAGGACGATGATGATGATGAGGAGAAGGAGGAAGAGTCTGACAGTTAACAGATGAGGAGGAAATTGGGGAGGGGGGGGGGGCGGGGGGGGGGAGCAGGGGAGCGAAATTCTTTGCAGTTGACCATGCATTGGGATGTAAACATTGGAGCATCGCAGCACTGATGCCTCTTACTGCCTTAAAGTCCTTTTTCTGTTGCTGATCTGTTCTTGTTTATTTTGAGGGACTTCACTGATTGTTCATCTTTGATAGTTTTGCATATCAGGAAGTACAGCTTTTTTATTATTATTACTGCATTTTTTTTGTCCCACAAGCAAAAGAGCACCTGGATGCAAAAGCTCTGATGCTGGAAATATTCAACAAATGTTGAAAGACTGTCCTCTTCTAGGAACTGATGTAAAACACAGCTGGCATATTTAAAATTTTTTTTATTAACTGTTTTCTCATAGCCCTTTGAAAATGCTACTTAACTGAATTATTAGTTAGAAAGTAACCCAATGCATTTTGTAACACATCTTGTTTAGTGGAGTTTGCCAAATTCTTTTGCCTGTCAGGAGTTCTGGACAGGAGAATTTACCAGGCTTGCTACTAAAAGGGCGGAAATGTTGCAACGCCCCTCTTGTATTTTGTTATGGTTTGGGTCCTTAGCTTGCCCTGTGATACCTTTCGGGGGGGCTTTTCACTGCATACACACACTACCCAAAACCGGCAAGGTCATCCGAAATAGAAATTAAAAGCTTCCTGGGATTTTAGGTGACAATACTGTGATTTGGGGGCTGAGGTCTAGGTCAGTGTTGCAACACGCGATGCCGAAACCGTCACTGGATGTTGAGTGTCCGGGTCTAGAGCCGGGGCCTTTGTTGCTGGTGCCACCCCTGCCCCATGGTTTTGTTTGTATTCCGCATAAATACTTTCTATGCGGCGACATGTTTTAACCAGAGTTTGCACTATTTAAGTTTTCTTTTTATAAAAAAATTATACAAGTACCTTGTTTAAAATAGTCTTCTCCCCTGTAAAAGAAAATGCTTTAGGAAGAGAAAAAACAATTCCACTCACTGAAAGTACTTGCATCTTGTGTATTTTTGGATGTCTTCTCCCCACTGCTTTATGGTATAAGAAATGTATATTTTCCACACTGTTTACTAATTCGCTTGGATGTTTGTTCTGTGGTCACAAGCTACTCCTACCTGCTGTGTATATACCTTGTGTATACAAGTGTTGCGTATTGTATACACAGGCTAGAACATTTATGGTGTAAATACGGGGCACTGCCATAGGTTTTCAAACAGTGGGTAGAATGAGTTTTGACTAGGAGGATCTCCTTTATATATACTCTAGGGGTTTTTAAATAAAGAATTTGTAAATTTAGCCCTAATTACTTTTAAGCTGTAATATTTCTCTAATGTCCTTTTTTTTTTTTTTTAATCCCTTGATCTTCCTTGGAATAGATGAACTGTCAGTACTCATGTCAGTATTAAGGGCACCAACTAAGTTTAGAAATCAGTAAGCACGCCTGCTGTACTCGAGGGGCCGCACCGCTGTGCCCGGACCCGTCTTACCTGCGGGGCGCAGGCGCTTGGGCCGTGCCCGGGCTCTTTGTCCCCGCCGGCTTCGCGCTCAGAAAGGCGAAATCACGGTGTGGTTTAAGCCGGGGATGATCCGGATCGTGAAGGGGCAAGCTGGCCCAAGTCCCACTTGCTGCAGCGGCCCTTGGCGTCTGGGAGCAGCCGGAACCCGGCTCCGGCAGGTTGGTTGGATTAGACAAGCGCGGACGAGGCGAGCGGAGCGGAGCGGAGCGCGGGGCGGGGGGGCGGAGAGCGGGGGAAGGGGCCGTGCCCGGGGAGCCCCGGGGGCCGGCGGGGCGGGGGGCCGCGGCCTGCGGGAGCGCGGCCCCGGGAGCGGGCACCGGCCCCGGGAGCGGGCACCGGCCCCGGGAGCGGGCACCGGCCCCCGCCCCGGGAGCGGGCACCGGCCCCGGGAACGGGCTGCGCCCGCTGTGCGACTTCACCCGCTCGGAGCCGCCGCCTCCCCCCCCGTCCCCCCCCGCCTCCCCCGCCCCATCTGCCGCGTTTCGCCCGCAGGGTCGGTGCCGCGGGCGCCCCGAGCGATGCCCGGCGGGGCCGGGCGGGCGGAATGGGGCCGGGCCGGGCTCGGCGCTGCCCCCGGCGGCCTCTCCCGGCAGCGCAGCCGCCGCCCCGCCCCGCCCGGCCCGCGCAGGCCGCCGCCGCCATGGCCGCGCTGCACGCCAAGGCCGGCGGCCCCCCGCAGATCCCCGACACCCGCCGGGAGCTGGCGGAGCTGGTGAAGCGCAAGCAGGAGCTGGCGGTGAGCGCCGGGGCCGGGGCCGCGGGGCGGGCGGCGGGGCCGGGGCCGCGGGGCCTGGGCCGCGGGGCGGGCGGCGGGGCCGGGCGGGCGGCGGGGCCTGGGCCGCGGGGCGGGCGGCGGGGCCGGGCCCGGGCCCGCTCCATGCGCTGCCTGTGCCCGGCAGGAGACGCTGGCCAACCTGGAGCGGCAGATCTACGCCTTCGAGGGCAGCTACCTGGAGGACACGCAGATGTACGGGAACATCATCCGCGGCTGGGACCGGTACCTCACCAACCAGAAGTGAGTCCCGGCGGCCCGGCCCGCCCCTCCCGCCCGGCACGGCCCGCCGGGCCCCCGCGATGCTGGTTCTCCCTGTTTCAGGAACTCCAACAGCAAAAACGACCGGAGGAACCGCAAGTTCAAGGAGGCCGAGAGGCTTTTTAGCAAGTCCTCGGTCACCTCGGCAGCGGTGAGTGCCGGGCCGGGCCCCGCCGGGGCAGAACAGACGCCCCTGTCCCCCGTCCCCCTGTCCTCCGTCCCCCCACCCCCTGTCCCCCGTCCCCCTATCCCCCGTCCCCCCATCCCCTATCCCCCATCCCCTGTCCCCCGTCCCCCCATCCCCTGTCCCCCGTCCCCACTCCCCGTCCCCCATCCCCCCGTCCCCCATCCCCTGTCCCCCATCCCCCCATCCCCTGTCCCCCGTCCCCCCATCCTCTGTCCCCACTCCCTGTCCCCCATCCCCACTCCCTGTCCCCCATCCCCAATCCCCATCCCTGTCCCTCTCCCCACCTCTTGGTGCTCCTCGGTGCAGCTGGTCCTGTGCTGGTCACCCAGGCTGTGACAGGGCCAGTTTTCTGTGTAAGCTCCTGTACCTGCCCCATCCCCCTCAACCCGAGCATCTTCATCCCCTTTTCCTGGTGCCCCGGGGGGTGACAGGGAGCCACAGTCAAGAACCGCCCGTGCTCCACGCTTGTCGCTGCCGTCTGTGCCTTTATCTTTTTGCTCCTAACCCCCTTCTGCCGCGCCGTGCGGGTGCAAGGTCATAAGCTCTTCCAAGCCACGGCCTGATGTGTCTTTCTCTGGGAGGTGATCTCAGTGTTTCTGAGCACCTGAAAGGCGGTAAGTGAATTGTTGCTTTCATTAACATCCCTTTTGGTTTTCCAGGCGGTCAGTGCATTAGCTGGAGTTCAGGACCAGCTCATTGAGAAGCGTAAGTCACTTTTTAATTTCTGTCAGAATTTGGAAAGAATTACCCTTTCCCGCACCGCTCGGGCGTGTCTGCAGTTGCCTGGCTCCCTGCTGCACGTGCCGCTGCCCGCAGCGCTCCCCGTCCAGGGACCTGCAGCTGCCCTCAGCCCGGCGCCTGGGCGCTCCCAGCACAGCCTCTGGCACGAGTCAGCAGCGAGGGGCACTGTGAGACACAGCAGTGAAGTTGAGCTTCCTTTCTTGAGTGAACTTTTATGCTCAGCAAGGGTTTATTGTGCATAAAACTTATCTGAATGGGTTTGGCGCTCTTTGGAGAAGGTTAGAAGAGCTGAAGCAACGCGTTGCTGTGTGTGTGTCCATCGTTTTTTAAATGCAAATGACGTAATCTTTTAAAAGGATTTTTTTAGATGGTTTTGTAGTCAATACCAGATCTGTTGCAATTCTAGTGTGCTTCAGTTGCTGAGGGGGTGGCTTGCTGTCCTTCAGAAATATTTTTCAGGTTCTCTGATTAACCTCCTGGCCGTAAGGCTCGGCGTGTCTCTGCTGCCCCGTCTGCTCTTGCTGGGGGTCGCGTCTTCCACGCGGGGCTTTGCCAGGGCAGCCGGGGGTGTGAGCGGGGAGGTAACGCTCGTGCTCGGCTCTTTGTCGTGCCCCAGGGGAGCCAGGCAGCGGCACAGAAAGCGACACTTCTCCAGACTTTCACAATCAGGAGAATGAGCCCAGCCAGGAGGATGCTGAAGAGCTGGATGGGTCTGTGCAGGGGGTGAAACCCCAGAAAGCTGCTTCCTCTACTTCTTCTGGGAGCCACCACAGCAGCCACAAAAAACGGAAGAACAAAAATCGACACAGGTTAGTGGTACCAGCAGCCTTCTTGTCGTGCCTTCTGAATGGTTGGCTGTTGTTGAATTTACTTTATTACGTGAAAGGAAGTAGTAACTTGCTAGAATAATGGGCAGCTCAGGTCATTTGCTTTGGTAATTTTTATGGTTTTTATTTGTATGCCTCCTGTAGTGTTTGCTGGGACCCCACTGTATCACGGAGGGGAAAGCTGGAGAAGTTAAGCAGCACAGGGTACTAACTCCCGCTCTGGCACAGCTGTGCTTCTCACCAGGGTTTTTCAGTTCTCCTGTCTGCCCGGGAGGGTAGAGCTCTCTTCCTCCCAGGAGAGGAAGATTGCAGTCCTGGCCTCCTGTGCTTGCTTCTTGGTCTTTGCAGAACCAAGTAGGATAGGAATGTCAGTACCTTCTTTGGAGAAGGAAGGTGAAGAAGCAAATAGGAATGTTTTGAGGCTTGTAGTCACTAAGATTACCTTCACTAAGATTTTATTTCCACTCCAAGCCCTTTCAGCTGTCAAGTCCCAAACCAAGACTCTTGATTATGACATATGAGAGTTGCTTTGTCACGTTAACCTCAAAGTGCTTGTTATTAAACTGACCTGAAATTCATGTGAAACAAAGCTTTCCTGAACTCCTTGTGGTTGAATTTAGATGACCAGTTCTGCCCCTTAAGGTGTGCCCCCGAGGCGTGGTGCAGCGTGGTGGGCTGATGGCTCCAAAACCCGAAATAAAGCCCCTGCCTCCCCGCGCTGCTCTCCACGGGCCGACGTCACCTGCTGCTGAACCGTGCCTGGGTGCCCCTCAGCAGAGCTAGCCCAGGGCTTTCTCCAGAGTCTGGCAGTGCGCTGTGGAGCCAGGCCCTGCGGGGAAAACCCACTGAAACCCATGCTCTTGGGAAGAGGAGACACTGGCGGCAGACCTGCACCTCTCTGGAGATGATTGCTGGAACCGGTACCTGAAGACTGTTAGAAGTAAAGGAGCTTTTAAAAATCATGTGTTGCTAACTCTGAGCTTGTTGGGTTTGTGTCTGGGAGGGCTTTCCTCTGTAAGGGACCCTCCCATACAATTACAAGAAAGAAATCTTCTAAAGAAAAGTGGTAAAAATTTTCAAAGATTGCAGGGGGAAGGTTGGTTAGGGAGATACGGAGGTAGGTATAGTGCTTGAAAAATGTTTAACTGCCTTTTCTCCTTCATTAGGTTTTGAGTCATTAGCATGTCTTTAATACTTAGATCAGAATCTTTTCCCTACAGCAGTCTTAATTGGGCAAACATCCTAAAGTGCTGGATGTCCCTTTGGCTCCTCATGAGCTGAGAACCCAAAGCAGTTCAAAACTCTTTTTACCTGTAGACAGTTGGAGAGAAGTTGAGGAATAACACGAGAAACTACATCTGTTGACAAGTTCAGAGAAACGAATCTGTAAAATTGAAATACAGCTTCAGAAAATTGCTATTTCAAACAAAATTTATAAAATACTCTACTAAGCACTTACACGGACAGCAAACCAATCCACTGCAGACACCATGGGGTGCAATACAAATGCTGTAAATATTATAAATTCTTTTGCTCCGTTACATAACTCGAACTTTAGCGACAGGAGTTAGGAAGAAACTGCCCTGCTGACAGGTTGTGTTGCTTTGGGGTTTCTTCTACATTCCTTCCACTGAAGCAGCTGATGCTGGCTACTGTCGGGGACAGAATGTTGGACATGAGGAGCCCTGGTCTGACCTGGTATGGCAGTTCTTACCATCCTGAGAGACGTCAGACGCATCTACATTACGGAGAGGCTTAGTAAGTTAGTCGTTGACTACTTTGTGATGCTTAGCATGGCCAGATAGGTAATTAAAAGAAGAAGATAATTTTGTTTGTTTGTAATAAAAACTCTCTTAAAATGGTGATGGCCTTTGCTGACTCTCCCCTAAATTTTGGCAGAAAAGAGTATATCTAGGTTTAAAAAACCCCAGCGAAACAGTCCCAGTCTGTTCAGAGGATTGCTAAGTGCTTGAAAATGCATTGCAGCCCAGAGTGCTCTCTCAGAAGAGACTTGAGTGTCTGTTTCTTGAGTGTCATGGAATGAAAAAGAGGAAAATACAAAGAAATACCGGTGTTTCTTTTTGTTCAGAAGCTCCTCCAGCTGCCAGCGTAGGCCTGAGTTCTGGTGACCTGTTCCTGAGGAACTGGGAGGTGTTGGGAACAGGCACCCTGGGATTTTCTGCTCTGTCTGCCACCGGGAGCAGTGTGGGAAGTTGCATTCAGACTGGGCAGAGCTGGAGTGAATAGGCAGTTTAGCTTGGACCAGTTCAGAACAGGGAATCAGATGGAGCTTACAGTGTCTCGTGAAGTCATCCTCCGTTCCCTCCGAGACCACGAGAAGGCCGAGATGATTATTCTCTGTGTGCTCAGCAGTTTTCATGGCTGAAAAGTATTTCAGGAGAAAACGGTGCTGTTTCCTCTTAGAGATTCAGTGCTGAAAAGCTGCTAAGTTACAGCTGACTGGAT